GCACAGAAAAGGTAATGCCCTCATATCGTAACTAGAATAGAACACTGTCTAAAAGGAATATGTTATCTTGGGATTCTGTGTACAAAGTACTGCAGTTCTGTTTATTTAATCATAAATATTAGTCGTTGTTTGGGCGTAAGCTGAACTAAACGAACTCTGAGGGGTTAGAGGTGAGCTTGTTCAGTTTTTTCCTCGCGTTTGCAACTAAGTGTTGAGCCTCATTAGGCGACGAAATGGCTAAGTCACTATATCGGACAGTGTTTCTGGTTTGACTGTGCCAGAGGACTTTTGTCCTCACTTGCCATCTGTTTAATTGTGTCCTTGAGAAGTCATCCATCCCCAGCGGACGAGGAAATATCAAGATAACACCCATCCCAAAGTCTGTTTCCCTTAATGATTCTGTTCCACTCTATTTCGTCAACATCACTCTGGCTTAGATTGTTGCAGAAGACTCATACAATCCTTCCCTCACGGCCCGATAGAACGTCTCTAAGCATCTGTATCAATATAACTGCAAAACATCTATCGTAAACTGCTACTTGTGGAACACTTCAATGTTTGACAGCCATGAGCGGCCGGAACAAGTGTGTTTGCATCTGTTTCATAGACCAGCAGTGTTTTCGATTCACTTAACGGGGTCATGCTCCCCTTGAAGCCTTTTTGGACCGATATCCACTCTAGGCTCTTACAAGGTTATGTAGGAACAGAGTGGTAGCAAAGGACCAAACCGAATTGCAAGTGAGTTTGGTGCACCTCGAGGAGTCGTCATGTTACCGTTTATTTTACATACTGACTATGCAACCGTCGTAATAAGGTATACCAACAAAGCCGCTATCACCAGAGTCTGTTGCATAACTGCGCCTCGGCGATCGCAAACACTTCCTTCAATTTGCATCCAAAGCACTACTTATGGGTTGCTTTTACACTCGGGCTTTTCCAATACCGGAATAGCTTTCCTCTCTCCTTTTCTGCTGTTGAATTTATGTTCTTGAATGAACACACTACTCACAAAGTTGCTGAAAATTTCACGACAGTCCTCCTAGTGCTCATCAGGAAGATGTGGTCCCCAAGTTTCCACGATCATTCGCTTCACAATCTAAGGTGTTGTTGTTGTAGGGGCGGGGCCTATCTAATATTTAATA